GTGGTGGAGTAGTTGTATCGAAAGCACAGATAGGTTCCAAGAGCAATTGGATGGGGTCGCGTGTAGAGTTGTTGAGTCGGGTGGCAGAGGAGGGAGCGAAAACCTTGCTTTGCGGGGTGGGAATGGCGCAATGGTAGAGAGTTGACGCGCGTCTGGATTGGGAAGACATAATCGCAGTGGGAGACGGGGCGCAATAAGTAGGAGGACGGGGCGCGGCCATTGTAAGGCTACGCGTGAAAGGTCGTTCTGGGGCGTGAGGAGGGCGCTTTGACATCTAGATCGCACAGTGTAGAAATACATCTTGCGCGTTTGGTGTCCTTTGAAAGTGAACGAAAGTTGTGCGCGGATCAACAAAGCCAGCAACAGTGTAAGCAAGCCCACCCGACAATGTCCCAGGCGGACAAAGGTAGAAAGGTACGACAATTTGTCCTCGCGCGCACTCAACTAGGCCCTTCTATCGACGTCTTTCGAATGATGTGGTCATCTCGGTCGCTTCTCTTCACTATGCGGATAGTGTCCACGTAATTTGCGCGCAAGAAACCTTCTCAACCAAGTACATGTGACTGACCTGAGAGTGCCTGACGCACAATGCCACATAGCGACGTGACCATGTGAAAGCTCAATGCTTGGCGGTGCCTGCGATACCGCATTGCTAAGGCAACGCGAGAGAATGGTCGCGCTCCGCTGTTGCACGAGGTGAATGCTGCGCACATCTCCCGCGACGTGGGGCTTTCGATGTACCACAACCAGTCGGTTCGGTTTATCGTTAAGAGTATTGAAGCCGGGCAGTAGATTTATTGTGTGGATCAATGAACTATATCGCAAAAACTTGGCTCGTGGATCCTGTGATCTCGCTTTCTGCTTCCTCACGCAAGTGACCATCCTCGAACTTTACCTACGTCTCGCAGCGAAGCATTGATGCGCGGCGCCATACCTTTGGCTCAGGACTGATGTATGAATGAAGAGTTAGTAAGGCACGCAAATGGCCGTACGATAACGGAAGTGTATATGCTGCTGCCGTGCAGGACATAAGGTCGGGTGATGGCAGCTTGGAAAAACGTGAAAGTGTGAAAATGGAGGAACTTTGCATAACCACAGATTTTTGATTGTCTATTTCGTAGCAACGCACGCGATTGAACGGCTTGGTCTAAATGAGAAAGCTGTAGTCGGCAAATGTGGCGACAGAGAAAGCGGTGGACAGGAAAGGGGACGGGACGTCGGGAGGTTTGCCAATCGATAAGATTGTCCTAGCGCCTTGGCATACGTAATGACAGCTAACTCACGATCACGACTGCTGCGAGCCTCAGCTAGTTCAATCACTTTGATGTTGAGGTGTAGTAAAAGCCTTCACACTGATTGAGTATTTTTCGGGCTTTGCGTACATTGCGTTCACCACTATTCCACCGAACCTGATTACTACTGGACGCTCACAGCGATCGGCGGAGTTACCTGATGCCGATGCGCTCACATAGCACGTCACGATCATCACGTCTTCATGGGCCGAAAGGCGCAATACGCTCACTCGAGCAGCGGATTATAGCATTCAACTAGAACGGTAATCGATCTTGCGTCGCGGAATTCATAGTGAACGGTAAACTGATTGCGACAGCGTACCAAGAGGTATCAAAAGATGCCGACTAGATTGAAATTGGAATGGTAATTAGACATTATAACACTGAACGCATCCAATCAACATTGATGCATCCTAAACGGTGCGTACACTAATAGAAATCATCATCCCAATTCAAAGTTCTCAGATTCCACTTCAGGCCATGTTGAACTCTCCTAATGGCGTGGCGACTAGCCAGGCCCATGCTGCACACAAGAGCAGAGCGGGATGTATCAGGACCAGCCCGACACTCGACTATCACTCCTTGATAGCCAATAAGGAGAGTGTCTGCATTGAAGCAGGTATGTCAATCGTGACGAGACAGATCGACTGTGTCAACGTCATTGACCTTTCTCTCAACCAACCGCTCTTGCACGCGGGCCTCGGGTTCCCGAGCCGCGATCGATATCGACACCACGGGACAGCCGACTAGCGGCGGCGGCTGGCGGGTTCAATGGTCCATGTCATAACACGGGTCGCGGGTTGGCGGCAGCTCGGTGTGCAATCTAAGCATCTGCCTTTGAGTTGAGGCTTGCCGGGCTGAGCGCATTCATAATGCGATTCCGTGTAGTTGATGCTGCCTGTCGATGTTTGTTCGATCCGGGAATGAGATTGTGGCCATAGCGCATGGCTTTGAAAAGCGGCCCGGGTCGATGGGGACAGCGACTAGTGCGTGCGACTATGCGAACGCTTGTACCTGCATGACGATATCATGTTTTGTTTTCAGAGACTGGCGTCGCTCGCACGGCTGCTGCTGCGTTGGGAGAAACTGGAGAAGCGTCGGTACAATGTCCTCACTCTGCCGAATAGAGTTGAGTCGCTTGGTAGTCCGTCGTCAGGAAATGGGGATGGGACTTCGGGTGTAGCTCGCTCGCGATGCTGGAGATGCTCTTCGTCCATGCGCAAAAGGTCCGCTTCAAACTGCTCCATCACAGTGAGGGCTGGCGCAAAATCGGGGCTCAAGAAGTTCTGGAGTGGCGGAGGGACGGCCTCCTGGCTCGCAGAGTAGAGTAGTTGGGGCCTCATGTTGTTAAAGGAGCGAAGACGTCGAAGAGGTTGAGGATGTTGATGCGATGTGTTGCAGTGGATGAGATGCTGGCTTCTCTCCAGAGGGTCGCGTCGCGTTTATATCACAGTATCGCATGTCGTCATGCTCTCTTCCCATCCCACACGCGCTAAGTCGCGTGGCAGCTCCAATATCGTACCTGAACCCCACGAGCCGTGCGCAGTTTCAATACAATAATAAAATAAGACGTTCCGGAACGATCGCATGTCATTTTCCCCGATCGCATGTTATTTTCCGATGTAGTGGTCACCAGCATCGTCATGGCCTTGTTCCAGACGGTACCCCTGAGACTTCCCGCTTTCCGGGGTCGATCGATCGTAGCGCGTCATCAGGGATGCTGCATCATCTGGCAAGATCCAGGTTTCACCCTAGCAGACAGCACCGTGCGCGATGTGCAAGAATTGAAGATTGAAGTTGTCGGTGGCCTCTTCCATGCGCTCCTGAATCTCGTGAGAAATGTCTTGGTGTTGTAGGCTGGCATCGGCTCGCGCTTTCCGACAACACCCTGCCTACCTCGGCTCATCGGGCGAAGACGGCCAATGCGGTGTCGCTCCTCACGAACACCTCGATGACCAGCCGTGAGCACCCTATCGTCATCGCAACGACACATAGAAATAATGCCCATCCCCACACCTTTCGGCGGTTTTCTGCCCGCTGCTCGAGATCCACCATCTGCATTTCTTGCAGCTTACATAGCAAATCCAGGCCTTAAGTAGACGATACTGCCCGGGATGCCCACCCCACCCTTCTCCCAAGACCGCCGAGACTGGCTGAGCGAAATTTCTGGACTGTTTTCCCAGCGCAAAACCAAGGACGTTAAGAACACGACATCTACGTCAACTGTGAACCTTAGATTTGGCAACCCAAAAGCTTTCGACTCTGTTTCAACTTTCAGTTCGAGATCTCGAGATGACGCCTCCACAAAAGATCAAGCAATGGCTCACGGGCCAGGACGGGCTCGATAAGCTCAGGATGGGCGAGGCGGATTGCCCGGCTCCTGGCGAAGACGAGGTGTTGGTTGAAGTCCATTCCGTGAGTCTGAACTACAGGGATACCGAAGGTACGTACAGTGGGATGTGGTCACACCTACTTTTGTGGCAGGGTCCAGACGGCCATTTGAACAACGCTAAATACGTGGACAGTCGCCATGGGCCTCTACAACCACCACAAGTCCGTAGAACATCCCCCCGCTATTGTCCCATGCAGCGACATGTGCGGTGTAGTTGTTGCGGTTGGCCCAGTCTCCAACAACACTTCCGACCCCTACAAGAACCCAGCTTTCCAGCTTAAGGAAGGCGACCGGGTCATCAGTACATTTGCGCCGAAACATCTCAGCGGTCAAATCAAGGCCTCAGACATTGCGGGTGGCTTAGGCGGACCTGCGCCTGGAGTGTTGACGCAATACCGTGTCTTTCCCACGTATGGCGTTGTCAAGATTCCAGATTATCTATCCGATGACGAAGCGGCTTGCTTGCCAATCGCAGCTGTAACCGCCTGGATGAGCTTGAATTGTATGCGACCAAATGGCGAGATCATCGGACCGGGCGAAAAGGTCCTTTGCCAGGGTACTGGCGGTGTAAGCATCTCTGCAGCCCAGATTGCATCCGCAGCAGGCGCAGATGCCATCGTCACATCTTCCTCCAATGAGAAGCTCCAGCGCGCATCCAAGCTTGGCGCAAAGACAACCATCAACTACCGCAACACTCCCGACTGGGAGAACGCAGTCCTTTCTGCTACCTCCGACGAAGGCGCTGACATCATCATCGAAGTCGGCGGTGCGCAAACGCTCCGCAAGTCATTCGAGTGCGTACGCTTTGGTGGTCTGATATCCTGCATTGGCTACCTATCCGGCAAGCAAGATGAGGCTGGCGACAGGACAAACACGAACTTGCTGTGCCTGAAGAGGAATGTCACACTCAAGGGCATTGTGAACGGTCCTAGGACTGAGCTCGAGAGAATGCTCAAGTTCTACGAAGAGAAGAAGATTAAGCCAGTGGTCGACCGTATTTGGAAGTTCGAAGAGGCGGATCAAGCGATCAAGTACCTTTTCAGCGGAGGTCACTTTGGAAAGGTTGTCATCAAGGTGAAGGAGTAGACGGTATCATAGGTGCGTAGTGGATCAAGATACACCATGATCAAACATCCAACATTTTGTCACATCACCCAGTCCATCCAATGTCATTGTGCATCGTCTTGAAGTCTCATGGAAAGTTATTCTAATTGCGCAGCATTGTTTTCTACTTGAAAGCTAGTAGTCGCAGCTTGTATGATAATGTGAACAAAGATCGCTCATTGTCTGTAGTATGGTCACCGCCACATCTCGAACTAAGCCGAAGACTGAGCGCGCCGCTCAGCATCAACGCTCGCACCCCACTTGCGGAAAGCGTTAGTGAAACTTTGAGTCTCCTCGATGGCCTCCTCGTACTCGTCAGCAACAACAAGTCCCTCATACCACGATCGCTCCGTCTCGGCCAGCACAAGACGCCACTCCTTGCCCTCCGCCAGCGCCCAAGCCAGACCATGAACACCTAGGCGTAGTAACCACAAAGCAGCAGAGATCTTAAACCCCCACAGTTCGCAGTTCTCTCGATCCGCCGTCGGCCAGTTCTCTTCGTGGTCCATTACAGCTTCGATGACGCTGTAGAGACCTTCCTGGAAATGAAACGGGAGGCAGTGCAGACAATGCATGATGTTGCTGATGTTGTCTTGGAACGGCTTGCTGTCGTTGGACCACTCCCAGGCGCAGTTGGCAAGAGTCCCAAGACCGGCGATTAGTGAGAGGCAAGTATCGCACTTAAATGTGCTGTTGCAGGTCTTACGGCACTCGGAGGGGCGGAGGTGGTACCGGCAGGTCTCGACGGCGGTGACGTGCTTTTCGCCCTGTATCATGTCAGTTGGAAGGCTTCAATTTCCAAGAAGAGCAGTCCTGACCTTCTCGAAGAGACTGCCTTCAGTCCGGGTGATCTTGATGATCTCGGTCCAGACATCTTTTGCAGCAGTAGAGGATGGTGCGGATGTCTCTGGGTAGTCGCCAGGGGATACGAGGACGAACTCGTCCGTGTCTTCAATGTCGTCGGCAATATTTATGGGGCTCTTGTTACTGACACTATCGGCAGTCTCTGCAATCTTGGAAGCAGGCATGTTCGTCGCGAGTGTGAATTGTCGGGTACTATACTTTATAAAGAAGTTGTGGTGGGTTTCAAATCAGCGAAGTTGTGAGTCTGACAATCTATATAGCACAAGAGGAGGAGAATTCAGCTCGGGAGTGTCATTCAACAAGTGGGTCTGGAAGAGGTCCATGGACTGAGAGCTTTCTTCCAGAAGGAGAAGGGTGCGGTGAATGTCTGCATCGCACTCTCTCGCAATGCGCAAATGACCAGATCAGGGACTCATTTGTACAGACATTCAGGCTTCAGCGGAAGAACGCCATCAAGCGTACTCGAAGAATATATGCTTGGTAATATCCTTGTTGGCTGCAAGCTATAGCAACTATTTGTACGCAAGCTGACCTTCAAACAAAGGTAAAACTTGATCCTACACGCTTACTCGACCGAGGCAAACATCAAGACCAAACATCTAACATGACCAGTGCCAGGAAGCACATGTATGCCCTGGCCTGGAAGTCCCATTTACCCTTCAGTCGTCGTCTTCAGTCCGACCCTTCTTAGCAAACATCCCCGCCGCGCCCCTCCCCCACATCGTCACCTCCGCAGCAACCCGCCTCAACTACATCTTCTTCTCTTCATACTCCACTTTACCCTCATTCACCACAATCCACGCCTCCTCCGCCGCCAACAAAATCTGCATCTCGCTTTTCCCCTCCACCCTCCCCAGCATTAGCCCCTCAGGCCCAAGCTTCAGCGCCCAAATTACTACCGAGATTTCGAACTCCTCGTCTCTAACAAGCTCACGCTCGAGATTCATCCAGTCGTCTGTATCGAGAATAATGGAAAGAACGATAGAGAGACTGAGCTGGTGTTGCGGCTCTAGCATATGCAAGTATTCCGCGACAAAAGAAGGCCTAGTAGGATTATCGGAGAAGATCTCGGAGCAGATGCGTAGGGTGTCGAGTCCATCAATGATTGCATTCGATGTTAAGCTGGGATGGGGCCTGGATTTTGTTTCGATGGCGAGGATTTTGGCGTAGTAGGCGATGATGTCTTGTGCGCTTTTGTCCTACACGGAAGCGTTAGTATGCATGATTGAGCTTTGAAGGGCGCTTGTATGCTTACTTCGTTGGTTTTAGCAGTCTCGTCACGAACGAACACGTAGCTGCCATCAGGATGCCTCAGCGGAGTATCGTTGGGTAGGGCGACGACTTTCTTTCCGTCGACGAGTTGGGTGAAGTCTTCTTGGCTGTTGTCGTCGTTCATGTGAGGTTTTTCTGGGCGCGGCATGATGGTCACCCTCGTGATGAGAAGACTGTAAACTCTGTATGTATTAGCAGGGTTGAGTTACTACGGGTGGTAGAGAGCCCAGTGTTCTCTCTCCAGGCCAGCCATCACTTTGGTACATGACAGAAAGTAGGTCAGTGCATGAGGCGCGATTCAATGCCAAGATGATGCGATATGCAGTATATGATTGAGCTTTCTCTTGCGTGAACTACCCTTCTGGACCATGACGTTAAGCTGTGCCTACGTCCGTGCTCGTCACTGTAGGGAGCCAGCGAGAAACAATGCACGCTAGACTACGCCTCTCCCATGCCTCCCATTTCTCCTGAACTCATTTATCTGCTATTCGTCTCGCATGCCGGGCTTTCTCTGCAACGATTCTCTGCTCAATCCTGCAAAACCAGTTCCGTTGATCGAGCGTAGGAATAGCGACACCATAGTCTATTCTCATCAGTAACTTGATGCTTGGTTGTCGAACTTTGACTTACCTTCACAATATCTGGCAAATCTATTCCATCATTCTTGCCGCCATCACGTTCAGGACCGGAAGTCTTCTTCTCCGTCATTCCTTTGACAAATCCCTTCCTGACACCACCATTCTGCTCTTCCATTTTATCGGCTTCGTTCTTGCAGTCTACATCACCCTCCTCTTCACGCTCGGACAGCCCGCACTCCGAACTCGAGCCTTCGGTGACAGAAGATTCGACGTCGGTGTAGGAATGGTAGTCAGCTTCGACGAATACGTAGCTGTCTTCCATTTCTTGATCCTCGACGAGCTCTTCGTCGACAGTGACATCGTCATCGGTTGGGAGCACAACTCCGCACGTCTCTTTACCGGGCTTGGTGATGGCTCTCTCTTCGGGACGAGCGTCATTGCTATGGGCAGCAGGGTCGGTGGGAGACATTGCCACGAAAATATATCGAAGGCGACGGTGGCTTATTGAGAAATGCTTACGTAGCCTGCGTACCCGCAGGTTGGGTAACTGCGCTGCTGTTGAGTGACAGTGTGAAGACTTCCATGCTAGTGTAGCTGCGTATATATGCGCCGTGGGGGCTCTATACCTAATTGCGCCACTAAGACGACGTTCATTCTCCTTTCACTAAGGTCAATAAGAAAGGCTGCGAGCGATTCGCATGGAAGCAACCCAAGCTTCATTGTATCAATATTCCATTTGCAGTTGCTTGTCCTTCGAAGGCAAATGGAGCCCGAGTGAAGCAAGCGGGCGGTCGAGACATGGCAAATATGGCGAGCCACTCACGGCCACCGCGAGTGATACCAGAACAACACGACCCTGGTATGGACGGAAGATACCAAGAGACTAAGAGATCAAGGACTCACTCGCTGTCGTTAATGATGGCGAATGAATAAGATCATTTAGCGTGGAATTCATGAAACATCAGTCGGTTTGCGGCGTGTGATGCTGAGAAAACCTGATTGTGAATGCTTCTTAACGATCATAACTTTGATGCTGCTCCCTCCTCATATTCACTCAACTCTTTCTTATCGCAATCTCTTGGACTTTCACCAAACTCCTTACCCTTGCGACATGACAGTTCTTCGGCGCTCTTCCACTTCCAGGCAGTGTCTTTCTCCTCACCGTTGCCCTTGCCGCTTAGTACGTTGCACATGTATGCGCCGGCGACAGGGAGGAATCTGAGGGGATGATTAGCATTGCGTCCGTGAAATGAAGGGTAAAGTAACCTACTTGTACGAATGAAAGCTACCACCAACGGCGAGGTACAAGTTGGCGAGCCTTTCATGAGGGTGTCGACACATCAGCCAGTCTTCGGTTGGTGTAACAGCGTCGTAGCAAATTCGCCATCGGTCTGGTTTTTTGCTGCGAGTCCATTCCGGCATGGCGTTGTGCATGATCTGCGCGCTTTCACGCTTCAGTCTCTCAGGGACGTCGTTCTGGTTCCTTCGAGATGGCATAGTAATTTTATGGCCAGAAGGGGTGGTAACCGTGTTGATGACTTCAGTTTTGATGTCATTAATCTTAAGCGTTCGGTTTGGCTGCGAGGGCGGGATAATGTCGACCTCTCCACCAATGACAATCACAGGTACTGTTTCGTCGATCATGCTCTGTGTGTTTTGTTCGTTCAGTGTATAGTATGCAGAGACGCGTCCTACAGCGGTGATTTGGCGCTCGATACGGTCTTGCTCCTGGATCTTCAGAGCATCTTCGATCGGCGACATCAGAGAGCTGGTCCATGCTCCTGCTGCCAACACGATCTTGTCGGCTTTCAAAACTTGACCATCTCTCAGCTTTACACCAGCTAGACTACGTTGGTCGGCGCTCAATAATAACTCCTGCACGTCTCCAGTCACCCTCTTGACCCCAAGCTCTAGTGCAACCTTCGTGAAGCTTTGCGTTGCTTTTTCTGCGTCGCACCAGCCCGCTTCACGATTGAAATAGCCCTTTCCATATTCTTCACTCTTGATGCCTTTCGTTACAGCGTACTTGTCCAGCTCTTGTGGTTCTAGATCGCGCGTGTAGTCACCTCCTCTCTCAACAAACGTCTTCCTTATCGCATCGCCAAAAGTACCATTCTTTTTGTCTAGCACGACCCAACCGGTCTTGTGGAAATGACCTTGTACTGCTATGCTCCAGAACCAAAAATGAATAGCTTCATTGGCGAGATTGCAGTAAAGATGTGACTCGTAGTCGGTGCGGATAATGCGATTAGTGTCGATGGCTGCCGCTTGCTTTTGTTTTAGGGATGTATTGCTATCCCATTGGTCGACGATGGTAATCCGAGATGGATCTTTGTATTGTTTGCCCAAATGATAGGCAGTAGACGCGCCAAAGGTACCAGCGCCTATGATAAGTACTGTAGGCTCGCTGCTTGCCATATTGAACGAATAGTGATCAAAAGTCGTAAAGCTCTCAATGATGTCCAGGATAATGGTGAGGCTTCCCGGATGGTAGATGAGACTGCTTGCGCTAGTGCTGCGGGGTCTTTTGCGGATCCGATGCCCCAGCTTGCCCGAAAACGTGCATTGGCTCGCGCGATCGGGAAGGAACTCACGATGCCCAGGTACAACGCGTTCCGAACATGACGTATCAACACAAAAGCGGGCGCGTGCGAATGAGCCCTATTCTGTCCAAAGTTGCGCTGCTTTGACAAGTGACATTCTGGAGCCCCGGTTGGGCTTTGGCAATGATCGCAGTCGATGCGGGATGCGCGAAGCTTGCTTGGAGACCGGCGTTCGCGTCGCACCGTCGCGAGTATTCAGTGTCGCGGCAGGTGCAAGGACGACCGTCGCGAACAAGGTTTACGCGTTGTACTTGAATGTCGCATCAATTGCATCGCCTCGAGAATGCATTTTAGTGGTTGAGACCAGCTTAAAGAGTACGTCGCGATGGCCTAGAGGCATGGTGGCACATCGGTCGTGGAAAGTCGCTAACTAAAGCTCGAGTGTCATCGCTCCTTCCGAATAATACAGCTCACTTCCAACACTCAACACCATCCATCACGCGCGTGCTTGTCAGTAGTAGCGGCGCACATCGCGCATACCAATGGCAGCAGTTCAACACGAACGGATTTGTTCTCTACATGTTCGACCCATTTGCTGCGGCAGTTTTATTTGATCGTGCTCCACGCTCTCCAACCAGTCTCTTACATGTATGGGCACCATTCACTCATCAATAGGTATTCATGACTCCCGAAAAGTCACTTCCGGTAATACGCATGCGCTGCGATAACACGATAAGAGAGAAAGAGCTGGTGATGGCAAGAGACATGGAGTAAGCCAGGGGCTGACCGCAGAGCTGGACTAGCCGGTTGCATCATCGGCAACGTGTCGAACATGTCAACTGTTTAGCCTGGAGGCCTTACTCGGTTTCAGTTCTGGATATTCACTACCGACGAAGGATTCACGGTCCTACACCTGTTCTTCCAATGTAGAAGCTGCTTGCGAGATGCATTTCCAGGAATGGTTAGCGCTGGCTGTCTCGGCTAACCTTCCGTGTCAGACTCGAAGTATCTTTGGATTCAAGTACGAACACAACGCAGAGCTATTGCGCAGCAGAAGACAAGACCCAAATTCAATATCACTGCTGGAACTGAACACAGAAAGCATCTGAGGAGCTTCAGTGAGACCAAGTTTTCACGCTTCAATCTCAGATTCGCCACTGCACGATAGCACTTTAGTGGCTCCTTCGGCAAGCCCCACCATCGAGCGTAGAATGCAGATTCAGCAACTCTCAACCAACACCACGATGTCTCCCAAGATCCATATCGTGCGCCATGCGCAAGGAGAACACAACGCGACCGTATGTCCCATATCATAAAGAAGAACCTCGGATCCAATAAGACTAACTGGCCGCAGCGCAATTACAGCATTCGCGATGCTGTGCTGACAGAAAAAGGCAAAGAACAATGTCGCACGCTTAGCTCGGCGTTCAAATATCATGAGGAAATAGACATAGTATTTGCGTCGCCGCTACGACGAACGATTCAAACTGCGTCACTGAGTTTTGGCCCTGTGCTCGCGCGGAAAGAGGTGCCGTTCGTGCTGTTGCCAGCCTTGCAAGAAGTCAGCAATATTGGATGTGATGTCGGAATTGCAGATACAGCAGATGACGTCCACGCATTCCTACCGAAGCTGTTCGCAGAGGGTGAGCTCGATTTTGACATCAGCAAAGTTGATGCATCAGCGGTGACAGCGGGCTGGAACTCCAAGGTTAGTCGATCTCCCGGTTTGACATCAGCATGCATGCTTACTAACGCCTCGCAGGAAGACTATTGGGCATACGAGAAGCGCGCCATCTCGAAGCGCGCTTCTGATCTGAGGAACTGGCTGTACCAAAGGCCCGAAGCGCAGGTAAAGCTGCCGTTAGTTTCCTCTTAACAGCGGTTTGCTAATGGAACAGGTCCTGGTCGTCACTCATGGCGCATTTGCACACTTCCTCACCGAGGACTGGGAAGTCGAAGACCCCATGGTGGGCACAGCGTGGAAGAATTGTCGGTACATCTCTATATTTAGTCTGCAGTATGAGCTAACTTTCCTATAGGTGAACATCGCGTGTTTACCTTCACACCTGAATCGACGGCGGAAGACGCCCACGTGGGTGAGACTTGGGAAAGCAGGCGAAGCAGAGGTGCCCAAGAAGTCGAGAAGGACCCGCATGTAGTGGATGAGTTTCTCAAGACGGCGGCGTAGTTGAGTAGTAGTGTACAAAGGCCGCGGCCTCAGGTAGCTTCCGACAACGGCTGTGGCATGCCGTTCCGTCCGTTGTCCAAGAGCCGGAGGGTCCACGAATAGCCAATACCCGATGTGTTTACTGTAGTAACTTGCCCGAGTACATATGCGCCCTTTGATCGACGGATTCTCCCTTCGCTCCTAATCTGGAGTACCACGGCTGTTCGGCAAGCGCGCCATGATGGCGCAACATCCCACGGTGCCCGGTGCCCCCTGAGGCTTTTGGGATCCTGGGGTAGACGGTAGCCGTGTCCAAGCAATCACATTCACCCCCCATATCATTGGGCGGCGCAAAGTTCGGCAATGCACTCCACAAAACCCTGGATCAAAGATAAGCCACGGTCACGCCGCGCCTGCTATGACCCTTCGAGCAGCCAAGCTGCAGTGCGGCCAGACCAAATCACCGAGGGGCGCGTCGTGCATTACCGCGCTGGGTGTAGTTGACGGGACGCATCGGAGCAGCCTTAGTCAGAGTTTTGCGCCCCGGTACCTGTTCGGTTAATCTATCAAGCCCCGCCGAGGCCCGGGATGGCGCGGCCCTAAAGGCTTGTCGCCGCCCCCATGCAGCCAAACCAGCCCTACGCGACGCCTCTGTCGTCGTCACCACCCAGTGCAGACGCTTATCCCCAGCTTACAGGTTGTCGCGTGAGCACCGCAGCTCTCTTATCTCCAGAACCGCATGCATGGTTCGCTCTGATGTCACCTAGCACGGATCCAGGCGATGTCACATCAAGCACGTCCCCAAACTCACCACTCAAACACGTAAAAAAGAGAAAATTTTACGTCAACTGCGACGCACCATGTGGACCGCGTCATTAACGACGCCACTAAAGGGCAACGCTTCTGGCTGCACGCACCAAGCTCTGGTACGATGCGAGCAATAGACCGAAGTTCGCTAAGGCCCTCGATAGCCAGCTTTCGGTCAACATCGGTCGCCCAGCATGCTGGGAGCGCGCGGGGGAAGGCCGCTTGGAACATTCTATTACACATGCAGAACATGCGGAGAGATAAGACGTGTTGATATAAGAAACAAGAGCAGCCGCTGGCCTGGAAAACGGTTATTCCTGCGTGCCGCTGCTAACTCACACTACCTTCTCACCGGTCCCACGGTACGTCACAGACAGTCGATATCACGCGCCGCCGTCTTCCCGATTCCGACGACTGGACCTGTGACCTACACTTCTACTGCTACTTTTGGGGTACCGGGCAAACTAGCTCGTCAGCAGGCGCCAAACACCAAAAAGTCGCGAGTGCCCTCCAGCTTCCGACTTGACCACGACTCCACCCCACCGTTATTTTGGAAAAACTCATATTTGCATTTTCTAAGATGCAGGAAGTACCGCACGCCCACGGGCTCACGACGGGCAACCCTGAGCCACAATACGCCTCCAACGGCGTCAACACTGGCGTTCCCGCGCGGCACTACGCTGCTGCACCGCCGACCTACCGTCTGGACGACCTTTCATCTGAGGGCAAGAAGAGCGACCCCGAGCTCATGATGCCCGTCGACAAGACTGCCACCGTCCAGGAGGGATCGGAAAAGTTCCACCGCCTCGGCTGGAAGCAACTCACAGTCTGCCTGATTGTCGAAGCTATTGCGCTAGGTTCTCTCAGTATTCCTAGCGCGTTCGCAACCCTCGGAATGGTTCCCGGTGTCATCATGTGCGTCGGTCTTGGACTCGTCGCAATCTACACATCCTACGTTGTCGGTCAGGTCAAGATGCGCTACCCGCATGTCAACCACTACTCGGATGCCGTCGAAATCATCTGGGGTAAATTCGGAAAGGAACTCACTGGTGTCATGTTCGCACTCTTCCTCATCTTGCTGGTTGGGTCGCACGCGCTTACCGGAACAATCGCCTTTATCAACATCATCGGAAACTACACCACATGCGCGCTCGTATGGGGTGTAGTATCCATGATCATCTTGCTGGTTCTTGCTCTGCCACCCACGTTCCACGACTTCGCTTTCCTGGGCTACATCGACTTTATTAGTATCATCGCCGCCATCTTGCTCACCATCATCGCAACTGGTATTCAAGCGCACGATGCCCCTGGCGGATTGAGCGCGGTCAACTGGTCTGCGTGGCCCCAACCCGGTACTTCGTTCTATGAAGCTTTCCTGGCGACCACCAACATCATCTTCGCCTACTCCTTCGCCGTCTGCCAATTCTCTTTCATGTCGGAGATGCACACCCCCAAGGACTACGTCAAGTCCATCTGGGCCCTCGGTCTGATCGAGATCTTCATCTACACCATGACCGGTGCTCTCATCTACGCTTTCGTTGGCCAGGAGGTCAAGTCGCCCGCTCTTCTCTCCGCCGGTAACACCGTCTCCCGCATCGCCTTCGGTATCGCACTACCCGTCATCTTCATCTCCGGATCCATCAACGGCACCGTCGTCTGCCGCTACATCATGGACCGCATCTTCCCCACCTCGCCCATCCGCTTCGTCAAGGACGTCAAGGGCTGGGGTGTCTGGGTCGGTCTCATCACCGTTGTCACCGTCATCGGCTGGATCATCGCCGAGGCCATTCCCTTCTTCAACGCCCTCCTCGGTCTCATCTCCTCCCTCTTCATCTCCGGATTCACATTCTACTGGCCCGCCCTCTTCTGGTTCCAGCTCGTCAAGGAGGGTAAGTGGAATG